CCAAAAGTCAAAGATATATCACACTGGTCAACACCCAAAAGTCAACGATGTATTACACTGGTCAACACCCAAACGTCAACGCTATATCACACTTGTCAATGTCTACAAAGTAAACGATATATAACACTGGTCAACATCTACAAAGTAAACGATATACAAAATGTATTACACTGGTCAACGCCAAAAGGTCAACGATTTATTAAACTGGTCAACACCCAAAGTCAACGATATATCACACTTGTCAATACCTACGAAGTTGACAATTTATCACATTGGTCAACATCAACAAAGTCAACTGTGTAATATACTGGTAAATACCAACAAAGTTAACGATACATACAATGGTCAACACCCAATGTCTACGATATATTACACTGGTCAACATCAACAAAGTTGAAAATATATCACACTGGTCAACATCAACAAAGTTAAACATATATCACACTGGTCAACATCAACAGAGTCAACGATGTATTAAACTGCTCAACATCAACATAGTTAACGATATATCACGCTGGTCAACACCCACAAAGGAAACGACAAATTGCACTGGTCATCACCCAAAAGTCAACGATATATAACACTTGTCAACACCTTTAAGTCAACGATATATAACACTGGTGAACAACCACAAAGTCAACGATTTGTTTCACTGGTTAACCCCCAATAGTCAACGATATATCACACTGGTCAACACATAACAGTCAACGATATCACACTGGTCAACATCAACAAAGTTCACAATATATCACACTGGTCAACATCTACAAAGTCAACGATGTATCACACTGGTCAACACCTAACAGTCAACGATGTATTACACTGGTCAACACCCAAATGTCAAAGATATATCACACTGGTCAACACCAAAAGTCAACGATGTATCACACTGGTCAACACCTAACAGTCAACCATTTATTACACTGGTCAACACCCAAAAGTCGAAGATATATCACACTGGTCAACACCCAAAAGTCAATGATATATCCCACTGGTCAACACCCAAAAGTCAAGGATATATCATACTGGACAACACCCAAAAGTCAACGATTTATTACACTGGTCAACCCCCAAAAGTCAACGATGTATCACACTGGTCAACACCTAACAGTCAACGATTTATTACACTGGTCAACAACCAAAAGTCAGAGATATATCACACTGGTCAACACCCAAAAGTCAATGATATATCACACTGGTCAACACCCAAAATTCAACGATATATAACACTGGTGAACAACCACAAAGTCAACGATATGTTTCACTGGTCAACATATAACAGTCAACGATTTATTACACTTGTCAACACCCAAAAGTCGAAGATATATCACACTGGTCAACACCTACAAAGTTAACGATATGTTTCACTGGTCAACATATAACAGTCAACGATTTATTTCACTGGTCAACACCGAACATCCAACGATTTATTACACTTGTCAACACCCAAAAGTCGAAGATATATCACACTGGTCAACACATAATAGTCAGCGATTTATTACACTGGTGAACACCCAAAAGTCAACCCAGAAAGTCAACGATTTGTTTCACTGGTCAACACCCAAAAGTCAACGATATATCATACTGGTCAACACATAATAGTCAACGATTTATTACACTGGTCAACACCCAAAAGTCAACGATATATCACACTGGTCAACATCAACAAAGTTCACAATATTTCACACTGTTCAACATCTACAAAGTCAACGATTTATTACACTGGTCAACAACCAAATGTCAACGATATATCACACTGGTCAACACCCAAAAGTCAAGGATATATAATACTGGTCAACACCCAAAAGTCAACGATGCATCACACCTGTCAACACCTAACAGTCAACGATGTATTACACTGGAGAACACCCACAAAGTCAAAGATATATCACACTGGTCAACACCCAAAAGCCAACGATGTATCACACCTGTCAACACCTAACAGTCAACGATGTATTACCCTGGTGAACACCCACAAAGTCAAAGATATATCACACTGGTCAACACCCAAAAGCCAACGATGTATCACACCTGTCAACACCTAACAGTCAACGATGTATTACACCACACTGGTCAACACCCAAAAGTCAACGATGTATCACACTGGTCAACACCTAACAGTCAACGATTTATTACACTGGTCAACACCCAAACGTCGAAGATATATTACACTGGTCAACACCCAAAAGTCAAGGATATATCACACTGGTCAACACCCAAAAGTCAACGATGTATCACACCTGTCAACACCTAACAGTCAACGATGTATTACACTGGTGAACACCCACAAAGTCAAAGATATATCACACTGGTCAACACCCAAAAGTCAACGATATATAACACTTGTCAACACCTTTAAGTCAACGATATATTACACTGGTCAACAACCACAAAGTCAACGATATGTTTCACTGACCAACACCCAGAAAGTCAACGATTTGTTACACTGGTCAACACCCAAAATTCAACGATATATCACACAGGTCAACACCTAACAGTCAACGATATATTACACTGGTCAACACCCAAAAGTCAACGATATATCACACTGGTCAACATCAACAAAGTTAACAATATGTTACACTGGTCAACACCTACAAAGTTAACGATATGGTTCACTGGTCAACACCTAACAGTCAACGTTTTATTACACTGGTCAACATCCAAAAGTCAACGATATATCACACTGGTCAACATTAACAAAGTTAACAATATGTTACACTGGTCAACATCAACAAAGTAAACGATTTATTACACAAATTCACGTTGACGACCTATAACACTTAAGTGAGAGCGACAAACAACGTTGTTATATCATAAATGCTACAATGCAGCTTCAAACACATGCATGTTTATGTTTCACGGAATTATTAATCTATTGAATAAGATATTACGTCAATAATACTGCTAATCACTTTGTTTTCGAGAGTTCAGTTTCGCATTTATTCGAAGGGAGACCAATTCGCGAACCACATCTTTGATGAATGATAACTTAAGGATAATGATGATATGATTTTAAATTTTCGATATCTAAATCTGTGTACTGATTAAAACATGTTCTTATTAGATTTGAATTAATAACTCTGACGAACAAAATCGTTTAAATGTTTGCTTGTATCGCCAACAGACAATACCTTGCAAGACAGACACAAACACAAAACACAGTAATTGTGTAATTATCAGCTTTGCGTTTGCTTCTATGTCTGATGGGTAACATTTCAGAAAGTAAATACAGAGATTGAGTAAGTCTTGTTATGTTTATTATTAATATGTTTAATGCTGTGTAGGTATGAACTGCTGCAGTTTGCTTTAATATGTATGCAAGCCATGGTAAATCACAGGTTTTGATATTAAGGCTTTCGTTCAATCCATATACATATATATCTATGTATTTGGATGAATACTGACGTTATTGTTAATCATCTGAAGATGAATACTGAAAGCGCTAATGCTTAACGAAGACCTCGTTGTTGGCTCTCTCTCCCTCTCAATGTTACCGATCGTACAATGAATGCGTGAAAGCGTGGGGCGGATATGACGTGTGGAAAAGTGTTTGTTCTCTGTACAATGAACCTATTATGCGTTCGTATATACACATAGCTTAAGCAGATAGCGTATACAGAAATTGTGTTACAAATGATATATTGAATTATGCGTGTGTGTTTTATAATTGCATAAATCGGACCACTCCGAATATTTTTATATACAGGTTTCATATTTATATCCGAATATGAAAAAACATGTCTTTTCCAAACTTTCATCACTTACATGGTTGTGAATTGCAAGTTCTCCATGTAGGTGTTATACATGTACACAAATACTTGGAATCGCGAAAAAGAAGACAAAGGATGCAGAACCTTCTCCATGGATTTTGTAAGTCGTACCTTTTTATTACGAACCCAATATTTCAGATACCCTTAATTTGGAGTCGTTGCTTGTACATATATTTCAGCTCAAATATATCAACACCTTTTTCGTCTAAGTTTCCATCTGGTATCAACGGCAAGATAAAGACCGGCTGTTCTGCAATTCAGTATGTTGTACCGTACAAATGTATGTTATGTAGCCCATTTGTCTATGATGTGTAGTATTTTGTGCTGTACAGGTCTTATGTTGTACAGTAAGCTATGTTATGTAGCATTTTATGTTGTGATGTATAATGTGTTGTGCGGTATTTTATGTTGTGCAGTTATCATGTTGTACAGTATGCTACGTTATGCTGTGCTGTATAATGCGTTGTGCTGTATTTGATATTGTGTACATTGTATATTATGTTACGTAGTACAGTTTGCTATGTTGTGCAGTATTTTATGTTGTCCGTTCTTATTTTGTACAGTTTGTTATGTTGTGATGTATAATGTATATTTGTGCAGTTTGTTATGTTGTGCAATATGTTATATGATTCAGTATTTCGTGTTGCGCAGTATGTCCTGTTGTTATTTTGTGTTGTATGACATTCTATATAATATATTTTGTTGGGAAGTATTACATACTACGTAGAATGTTACTATTATATGTTGTGATGTTGTACAATCTGTTGTGCTTTACAGTAAGTAATGTTGTGCTGTATGCATTATGTTATATTGTACAGTATGATGTGTTGTGTAGACATACTTTAAATGTGATGAACTGACTTAGTATACATTCTATTTCGAATTTACAATGCAACAATAGTTACTCTTTAACAGGATCTGTTTAATGTTTTTTTTCTCGTGATTTAAACAGTGTTTAAAATTTCCTATTTGAAATGTATGGCAGGCAAATCTTTAAACTACACTCGTTGTATTTATTTTTCTGGTAATAGAGCAACAACCAAAACCAAGAATGTTGGACAAACCAATATATCATATATCTAGCCGGTATACTGATACTATTTCCGATAGAACAATTAAGACCATGTTAAAAAACTACTTATAAAGCTACAATTTAAATATCTCGTATGAATTTAAGTTATATTGATGTATTGAATAATACTGTTAACGTATGATATTCATTGTTACCTGATGTGTTGGAAATATTCAGCCTTGTGAAGATGATAACAAATGCCAACCACAAAGTAGATGCCTCCATTTTCTGTAATACGATGTTTCTACATTATCAAAACAGGACATGCGCTTGTGGTGGATTGTATACACACTGAACAATCAGGAAATGAATACAGTTCCTGTCCGCCTTGCTAGGTGAGTGTATCATATTGAAAAATAACACGCGTGGCAATACAGCAATCTTTAGGCTACAACAGAAAAATAACTCTCCTGCCTCTTACATATATTACAGAAACTGACGGTGTTACGCAAATACATTTCAAAAGTAAATCGTAAGGATATTAATCCCAACTGGCATTACGGTTTGAAATTCAGGTAAGGATTAGCACAGCATGTGATTAACATAGGTTCTTCTTCTTCAGATAATAATGGTATATCAGATATCCGTAAACGGTAACATCCGTATTAAAATCCTATTAAAATGTTGCATCACGAAAAAAAAGCTTTAGATATTTTGGCAATGAAACAAAATCTCGCAGTAAAACTCCTTTCATAGATAAATATCTTACTAATTGCAGTTTGTTTATCCAGCTGTTTGTGTATACAATACATCGTTGAAAGCAATCAGCCAATTCAGTCAAATGCATACGTGTATCAAGTCATATACTGAAAAGTTGTTTTTTAATCTTCTCACATCCTATTCGGAAATGGGTTAAGTGTCCATAGACACTATCATATTGTAAGTTTTTAGATGAAGCTGAATTAATCGAGGAGCTTATCAGAACTGGTAACACAACTGTACCTTCATTCAACAATTTAGCTTTCATACATGTCGACGACGTGCTATTAAACAAAAGTAGACATGTTGATCACATTTAACCCTCTTGGACTTAAAATAAAGTACAATGCAGACTTTTTTAACAAATTTTCTTTCCCCCCAATCTCTAAATCTCCCAATCTACTTCTAATATCGTGACTTCCAGGAAAGATATCAGAATGCTGACCGACAAGTTATAACACAAGGTTCAGAAAAGGCAGGTTGAAAAAGATTATTGACGTTTAACGTTCGCAGTCATTGCCTCGTTGGGACATATCCTATTTCTTCGTGTGACTTGTTGTTTCGTTATTAATACCTCGGTTCTGACTTTGAGGACGTGAGGAGTTTTTCTTCTGTCTTTTATCAAGGAAGCCTCCCTGATAGGTTCAGAGAGAAATAAACCGAAACGAAATTAGAAATATCTACACTTGCAGTTCAACTACAGTACATCTTAAAAACCTGTAAAATGCACATGTCAGCATAGTGAAAATGGAGCATAAATACATACTGTGCCGTCACGTCAACTCCAATCCAACTATGCCTTTGTGAGTCCTGCTGAACATATATTTGTTAATCTTTTGGTGATACAGTCAGTTTCAAGGTCATGCCTGATACTATTGCACATGTGAACAACCTAAAGTGTGATACACTATGACCCTAGTAGCCGACCCCCCCCCCCCCTCAACCTTAACCCCCCACGCACACATGTTAGTTAATGATATAAGTATTGATCATTGATTGCATGAGCTCTATAGATTAAAATAATTAATTCCTAGCATTGAAGCATCATTTGCGCTATGATAACGTGACGTTATCCCGATGAAATTTTTTCCGTCACTGGTGTTTGATCTACATTCAACTTCTACATGTAACTAACGTTGTGCCATCCCAAAATTGCATTTTGTTAATTCCATGGCTTATCTTCTCGTTCCCATGACTTGATATCCCATTACCAAGACTTAACATCTCGTTTCAATAAATAATTATTTGGTAATAATTACTTCCGGTCACGACTAACCATCGTATATTTCCCTGTAAATGATTCAAATTACTTTATTTCTAGTTTTTTGCGACTACGTATCCTGTTATAGACAGTTTTACATGCGTCAAAATATATTATAGGAATTTGTTCTGGCTACACATGTCGGGTCGTTAGTGTTATTACCTAGATGGTGTTTTCAAAAATATCAATTGTACTGAAGTAAGAGGAAGCGAAACGAAGTAAACGACATTTATGGCAATTGTATAATGTAGAAGACTGCATGCTTCTGTGAGAATAAGTACTTTGATCCATTTTGTCAACAGTTTGTCATGTTGAAGCATGCAGGTACGTATACAGAGAACAATATATAAATACCAACATTCAACTACTTTTGTTATAGTACATATAATATGTTTAATGTTTGATGCAAAGCTATGTATTCATGATGCTTCAGTAAAGTCAGATTCCTATGTGTGAAATGTCCAATACCAATTAACCTTGTCTACATCATAAAGAACAAAGGCTTCTTTTCTTTTCTAAATTTTAATATTTAGTTACAGAAATGGAACAGAAGAGTTCTGCTCCTGACATTTTGTTAAAAGACTGCACCAGGAATGTTAAGTATACATAATTAGAGGCAAACTAAGCAGGAAATGTCTCAAAATGATTAAAAATATATCAACAATTCAAATTTGAAGCTTATATCCATAGAAATTACTGTATAGTGGAAATAGTGTCCAATGACTTTACATGAACAATGTACTAAAGAACGTCAATTTATTGTTGTCTGTTCGTCAACCAACGTGAAGTGCCCATTGCATAACTTCTATGTTGACCAGAAGGTTCAGGAAGGTTTTTTTCTGTCATATTTATCGCTCATTACACGCAGTGATCTACATTACAATTTGATGTCACCTTGAATAGCAGTAGCTGATCGACATATCCTGCGCTCCTCAGAAGATATGTAGATCAGCTACTGCTATTCATTGCTGCAATGTACATGAACAAAAATCCATTCAATTCATATATTTACGTTTCGATTAACTACAATAAAAAAAGTTGCAACACTTTTTGTAAATTCAATATTTTTGATATCAGTATCGGACAGAAAACCATAAAAAAGGAACAGGCAGAACTCCAACCTACACACAAACGTCAAAGGTTCGACTTGCGCCGATCAGCTGATTTGTTAAAACGAGAAAAATATCTATTATCTCATAATAAACAACGCTTGATATTCCTTTCATTTTTGAAAGTTGACCTTATTTCATGTATTTTTTTGCATTTAACGCCGCAAATGATATATTTAGTAAAAATTATGTCCGCACTATTTCAAACAACGGTCACCATAGTAACCATCCAGGGCATTCGTCGGTCGAGCATCCGTCGGCTGTGTACATCCGTGGAATGTGATGTTTGCCAGAAATCCTGCTAAGGTAAATGAAGATATGTTGGTGGATGAAGTGCCCTGTGTCATTACAAAGTTCTCTGATGTACTAGTTGATGTCACGGTGACTACCCAGCCAGACGTTTGGGTGTTCGAAAGTTCGTGACCCAGATCGCGGGGAATCGATGGCGAATCGACATTACACATTTGTGCGATGTCCCGCGATGGAGTAGCCGAGATAATGTGAGGCACTTGTGATACCCGTAAGTGTTCTGGATTACCGTCTGAGTGCATAGGTACTGGATGAACAGTTTTTCAGCGGCCGAATCCGTTTTTGATATCAACAATTGCAGCATTGCCACAGGACAGTGCCAGTGGAATGAACCAGTGGAATACATGCGTTTTGTTGGGCCTTCACTACAGTAGAGGAAAACCCACCCTGATAAAAAAAATGTCTTATGATTGATTGTGGCATAGCTCGTCTGAAATAAATTCAAAAAAATTAACTCGCAGTTGTTCGTGGAACTCAAGTCTCTTGGTCACAAAATGGATAGCCAGGTTGTACCATGCGTTCTGTCGTAGGATGTAAGGGGAGAAACCCCCCCCCCCCCCCTTGGAGGTAAGTTGATATTTGTGTTAAATGTAGGGGCGATACAATTTCCTTGTGTGCCGTTGGACGAGCCACCTCAGTCCTCGTACGCTCCTTTAACAGACCGTCTGGTGTACGATTCGCTTTTTTGAAATTTATCCCGCGAACAATATCAATATTCCGACCTTTGTCTATTAGATGACTATTTACTGCCCCTATTATATTGATAAGTGTATTTCTATGGTATTCCTCGGCCTGGTGCGCTGGCATGTTTTCTGCCCGCTGCTTTGTGTTTTTAGGCTTCGCCTCGCAATAAAATTCCTCACTAACGCTCTCTAGGTCCAAGACTGTCCCAGAGACTTGTTGGTTCCAATCTAAATGTAAACACATATCTTCTTTCGCCTATGGATTTGGAAAAAGAGCATCATTTGTGTGATGGTTTAAATGGTTAGGTAATTGCTTTATATCAAAATTCGCAATTACTAATTCATTTTACCAGTTCTGTGTAACAGAACGAATTACACGGATCGACAAATTTAACAATTTCCAAATCTGATTTTTTAATCCATTTAACTGTTTAATAGCTGTCAACTGACATGATTTATTTACCTTGGAATAATTTCAATCCCCAGATTGTATTTCTCTTAGTTGCGGCAGATTGGTTGGCCCTTTCTAGCATTTTCTGTTTCTCAGCAGAAATAGATTTAGTAATAGTACAATGGTGCACCATTTATGATTTTTGTAATGTTTATTATTATTTCTCGAGAAGGGGAGATAACTATTCTCAGAAACGGTACTATGCGTAGTAATATGAATTGGTCATTGTGTGTGAAATTAGCTGACTGGTTGCACGATAGATCTTTGTATTCATAGTGTATTCATATTATAATGGCAGTTGTTTTCAGTTGGTAGATTCATATACAGAACAAACATCAAGAATGTAAACATAACAGTATGATACAAGCAAGCAATGCATTGACGTGCAGGCATTTGTAAAATTTATATCGGTACATGAGAAAACTGGCAAAGATGAACGGAACACGGACACATGTGATTGCACATGTACAATTTAGTTACACAAGAATTATGCTGAAATGATTTACACAATGGCATACACAATGCAAAAAATATAAAAAAATATATTGATAACATCAACATTGAACACATTCATTTGTCATGTTCTTTCCAATAAAAATGAAAAAAAATAAAGCATTAATATTAGCATATAGCAAAAAAAGAAAGAAAATTACATAAAATTGCACAATCTATTAAACAAAAAGCCCATACGACCTGTATCGCTCATTCATGCTTCTCTGAAATGATAGGAAAATTAATAATTTTCTATGAATTCGTGATCATGGTGTCTGTCTAGAATTTCCTATTGAGTCAAACTAATATTGTTTGGTGAGTGTGATGGCGGGATAATTTATTTGTAGAAATTTGTAGGACGATTGTATACTTGAAGTAAGACATGGCGATTTATTCAGATTTCATTTGGTAGGTATCTAAATTCTTTGTAAACAGTTGTTTGAATTTTTTGAACACCTTTTTTGACATTTGTAACCTGGGGTGTAGATCAAAGTTGTCTGTTACTCTATGTCATGATCTTAATGTTATTATGATAGTAGTCAGACATGATTACGAACGTCAAATGTTGCGCCTTGGCTTTAGCTCCCAGGCATTTCATTCAAGATGAAATGACATGCCATAAAATAATTCATGTTAGAAACAAATCAAATATAATTGCATTTTGTTTTTACAAAACTCTTTTAAAAACATATATACAATTGTGATAGTTCTATTGTACATATAATCGATTTGATGGTCATTTGATTATTATAAACGTAGTAGCCATATGAAAACGGATGTAACATCCATTACATTCCTGAGTAAGTAAACTTGTATAACATAATTGTGTTATTTTGCTTATGTCTTTAAATACACATTGTTACAATTGTTGTTTACTTACTTTATGTTCAACAATAACTCATATAAACAATTTTGCAATAGTATGGAATCCAAAAGTAACTGTATATAAACCTTATTTACAATAAATCACAAGAAATATATGAAACACAGTATAATATTGCGCTTGCTGTTTTAGTCGAAACGTCTGAAGCTGCTCGTTCAAATGCATGTTTTGGAGTAATGCTAATTCATAGAACTTTCGACATTGATATCAACCATGGATCTTAATTTTCACTTTGCATGTACAGGTATTTGTCCAACATTTTACTTATGTCCTAGTGAGGATTTCAAAGATGTATTCCTTTAAACACGTTAACCAATATTCTTATTTATGAACTTTCCCTATCGTAATGATATATAATAGGTATACTGTAAAATCATAAGTTTTCGTGGGAGGTTAAATTTCGTTTATTTCGTAGATAACAGAAATCCACTAAAACATAAATTTGATATGATAAATTCAGCAATCAACGAATTATAATGTCCTTGAAACACGAAATGTAAGTCCCACGAAAATAAATGATTCTACAGTAGTCACGAATGTAAAATGCTGATGGATTATAAATTAATTTAATTGAAGCAAGAAGTTAAAACAGCTAGACCTCTTGTGTTGCTTTTCTTCTGTATTACAAATATTCCATTTAATGCACTCATGTGATGTCCACGCTGGTGAATTTCGTGTGTTACTACAATGAAGAACTGTATTTATATGGTCTTCTGTTCAGTTTATAAATATGTCAGCTGAATCCAATACTACACCGTATGAACAGAGTGCTTGCTGTTCAATTGACGTAAACATCGGTAGAATCCAGGTATTGTCCCAAGATCTTGTAGCAGTACTGGTATTGTTTCTAAAGCATAACGAAAATACCGTTACTATTTAAGTTTTCCTGGAAGGTATTGTTTATTTACATGTAATGTCAATAGCTACATGCAATGATAAAGATACGAGTGATCGAATACTATTGAAATTAATATCGATTATATGAACTTAATGAACGTTACATGTATGATTTTCTTTTATAAACATACCACATCTTTCAGTGCCTCTGGCCTTCGTTTTTTCAACTGTCGTGCTGTTTGGAATATGTCCACGTCATCGTCCATTTTCATTTGATCCCTGATGTTCGATATACAACAGAACAACCCACTCTGTGTGCATCCGTCCCTATAGTAATATTGTAGAAATCAAGTTATAACATTAAAACAGGAAGTGTCTGTGGAAGATAATTGGAATTATTAATTCCAAAATAAAAAAATGCTTCAACGATACCAATGCTTTAACAAATGAGTCCAATATATCATAGTTATGTATCATAAACTGTATCGTTATGCACTTGTTTGTGAATACAATTGGCAAATTTAATGATCCCAATGATATGATATCATTTGGAAGAATATCATATGCTATTTTGTGATGTGAGTATTGATTTTTTATAATCATGCTTATTAATGTTCCTTTCGATATCATTGTTTCCCTGAATATGACATTGTTTGGATTTGACCAAGGTTTAGAAGGCGAGTGTCGTTGATGAAGCAATAAACAGCGACGAAACAATTGGTCTTATTTTGCTTCTCTTTTTTAAAACGTTCTTAACATTTTGTCTTTTTTATCAATTTAGAGTTCAAATTACAGTTATGTTTATAAATTGGAATTCTTTTATTTCCTTAGGAATGAGCCAAAACACTAATCTTACCGACACATAACGATAACAGGCTTGGTATTGTCTGACCTCCGGCGGCTGTCTAACTGTTCCAGGAGTAGTAGAAGAGATGAGTCGGAGGGAGGCGACAAGGATTCTGATGACCACTGTTTCATGGTGAATATTCTGACTGTTGCTTCACTGCTGTTGCTCTGGTATGTTTTGAAAAATCCGTGAAGTAAATATTGATCAATAGGAAAACGAAATCAAGGCCGCCCCATAATCACAAAACATAATGAGTTACATGGAACGATAACGTATTTTTTATCATCATATTAAATTGAAGTGAAGTCTCAATGTTTAAATGTACCGAAAATAACAATTGAATATGAAATAGAAAAATAAGACAGTATTTCTATTTGGATTTAAGATCTTAAATTAAAGTCGTTATCAGGTTCTTGTGAAGGGTATTAGACAATAAATATTTCGCAAGCATGTTAATACAGGTAATGTTTTGACCAGTGAACAGTATCATCAATATCTACTTCATATCATCTGCAAAGTCATAACATACACTAGAATCATGTGTATTCTGGTTATATATTGGTAAGACGACACTAGGGCCAGGCAACCGAATATGCATCATGATATTGTGCAGTGTTAATCCGAATATAAACTCATTGAAGCTTTTCGGTAACTGAAGTACGCAAACGCATTATATGCGTGTGAACCAATATAAAGGAACGTAAAGGTGCGATCAGCGTTCAGTATCATTTAAAATACGTAGTTATTAGATAACTCAAACAAATGAAGCATCTAAAACAAGTGTACATTGTACGTACATGTATATATTTTATTCTTCGATAAACATATTGATTTAGAAAGTCATTTACGATAAACAACTTTATTTCGATTTACATAACACATATAAATATCAATAAGGGTCTCCGAAGTAACTGCATAAGGAAATATATCTCCACCTGTATATACATTAATATTGAACAACAAGATTCGAGAAATACGAATACGATCATTAAGATTGAACGTTTTTTAACATATGAATAAATATCGTTGACGATTTATAATGCGACTGGAATGATTTTTCCATATAAAACAATATGTTATTTCACATTTCGAGAACTATATCACGGTGCTATTTATCAATGTTAAACATTTTACAATTGCATTGCATTTTAGTCTATACTTATCAATTGTGTACTTTCGTCGAGGTCAATACGTTGCTATATGGATCTGATAGAGTGATATCGACTCAGTCCGAGGTCCATATTACACTATCAAGCACGTATAGATCAAGACCATGGTCCTTAATATTTACATTAGAAATCATGTCATTAGATAACATGAGTTATTTGATATCCAAATAAAAAGAATGATATAAATTGCAATCATGACTTAATTATTATCAAGGAATTCAACAACTTGCTTATTTTTTAACAGAAATGCAATACCATTTTTCAAATAAACTCTAACAAAATAGATATCTTTGGAAAAGAAAGAAACCAAATTGAAGAAAAATGTAACAAATATACATATTTATTACATGGAAATATCTCGATATTTTGGAAATATGTGTGTTTATGAACACGTGCAAGAAAAAATAAAATGCCGTCAGTATGCCATCTTGCATATATCGGCGAATCCGGGTCAAACGATTAGCTATTTAGAATAAAAGAAAATCAGACCATATGTAATGTGTATTACTATACAAAAGATATCCGCTTGTACGAGATATTAACGTAAAATAAAATTTATTACAAGCAGAATTAATATAATATTCTAAATATGGCGGAACAAATACCAACCTCGCCAGTTACTTGATAATCAAGAATTGTCAAATCATCGCTGGTGAACCGCTCGTCCACTGTTCTAAACGAGAAAGCTGCTGATGTTGTCGAGTCGTTTTCCCCCAACCAACACTCCTGTAAGAGTAACGCAGAATTTTAGCTTTGTGAAAGACAGAAGGAGCAAAATGAATTATTTAGCTGTAATTATGAAGAAAATGATAACTACAAAAAGTCTTTAAAACCTATTAGACATAATGTTTTAATATTACCTCAGACGGTTGTCCTAGAACTACGATGTTCTCACAGCTGTAGTCACACACCATCGTCCAGAAGTCATCTACCGTGTCCTTTAGAGGAAACTGTGTCATCAGGTACCCAGACTTTGATGTGTGAGACTTAACAAAATAATGATTCGTTTTGTAATAAAATTGAAAAAAAGAAGTGTATCAACGATATGGTAATCATATACAAAAAATATGAAAAATGAATACCATGTCAAAATATGAGTGGTTAAAATGGATTTCAGATTTACAGCATATTACCTGTATCAGAATTGCATTGATGTAATCAGTCCTATTGGATGGTTGTGATTGCAGAAAGGCTCGGAACTTGTCCACTAAAAAAACACAAACAAACAAACAAACAAACAAACATTACATTCAAATAAAATTGACATGTTTACAGATAAAACACGTACAATTTTCATGTTTTTTTTTAAATAAGCACTTCATGAGTCATCTTTTCTTTCAGGATAATATTATTTACCTGCTAAAATGTCCATACTGCGATTCTTGTCCTCATTTACTTTCAGCAATGCCGCTTTATAGGAACTCGGGGTGTAACTTGGATTGAACGTTTGCAATGCCTGCAGTAGCAAAACGAATAACATTGTATATCAGCTTCATACACAATTACAACCAATTAATAAAACGATATCATTGATGTCACATTGATTGTCATCAAACATGAATGCTTCAATCTCTAAAATCATTCCTTAGTGACAGGATAAAAACTATTAACAATTTAATTTGAGTTGTTATTTTTACCTTAAACTCCTGATGGATCTTTGTCTGATTAGCAGGTTTGTTTTTAGGACACTTCGCTGCCAAGACAGCAGGGAAGTTCATCCGGAGGATGTGTGATTCTTGTAAATTGAATCCTTCCACAAGTAATTCGTGCAGGGCAATATATTGTTCCTGAATTGAAAAATATGAGATTACTATTTTTTTTAATGAGTGACACATATCCTTGTTTGATTTCAATGGATATTGATCGCTTGTCTGTTTTAGGAAACGGAAACACACACTCTATCGATAACAAATAGTTTTTATCATGTAATGATTCGACGGAGGAAGCAATAAAATCGGTTGTCGTTTTCGATGTTTTGTGTTGACATGGTGTAATAAGTCTAACGACGGGAGACTTGGTCAACAGCTCCAATTTATTGTTGCTTACAGACTCTTTGAAATGGATTAAGCGATTTTAACCAAAAATACAAACAAGAATATCTAAATTGTAATTTCAAAGGATCTATTCTTCTACATAACTACATCATACTGTACGTTTGATATAACTATTCTCTTGCCAGACACCGTAAGAAATCAAAATGTTAAATAAATGTTTTGCGAATTATCCTTTATTAGCACCTACATAGTTTTGGATCATGTTCATTCTATCCTTCCGCATGGTCTTGACGTATCTTGGAATATCCACTTGTCCTGTTTTCTTGCCATATGAGAGAAGTGCATCCAAGCCTATGAAAGTTCCCGTTCTACCTAAACCAGCACTGCAAAATAATGTCAAATGATTAAGTATCGATTCAGTTTATACATATCATACTTTATACCGAGAATATTTTGCCCTATCAAACTTAAGCCCTTCGCGGATCAAATTACTCTTCGCCCAACGTTAGCTTCACCCTCCACATTCAATAACTTTAATTATTATGTTGTCTGTTTATTATCTGCTGTAATAAAAATGCCCTAATTTGGGGGAAAGGTAAGTGTGGAACAGCGGTGAAATATTCCCGGTAAAGAGTAAGTATACACAAGTCATTCATCAATGTCTGTGGATATCAATTACATATAAACTAGTTATCATAGACAAAGGAATAGAACAGTAAAATAGTTGTTAATTAGTGGTGCTTGTAAACATAGTTTTTTTTACTTTGATATCCAAACATTGTTTAGGTCTGTGCTGATATACCTGCAATGTACCACCATCTGCCCTGTCAGCTGTGTCTCGAATGACGTCACACGGCGATGGAAAAGGACGAGTTCCAGGGTGTCAGGAGTTCCATGATCTGGCCACGTGGTGAAGTGGAACTGTTGGACAAGGCGCTCCTCTTTTGTCTACAGACGAATGGAGATTAGAAATTATACGATGCATATTTGTTAGTTGGTTTGTTAAGTTAACCCATCTACAAATATCAATAGCTAAGGTAATCAAATGTATTATATTGAACTTAAAAGAAACAAAATGAGACATCAAATTTAATCTAAAAGACAGAAATATTATTCGATAATGGCATGCTTTGCTTTAGAACTCCGTTTCCTTATCAAACGATCTGAAAGGACTAATATACAATTTACGAACTTTGTATTGCTGAACATACGGGACATAGTTCAAATGTGATTAACCGCCAAGTTTTAAAAAGCAACACTGTAAGATTTAGAAAGATATGGTACACCACAGCGCTAAAATAAGAGTATGGATTTGGTGCCTATAAGTCAAAGCAGTGTACTTTCTTATTGATTTTAATCCAAATCAATAAAGCGGTTTAGGATCAAAGGGATTTCAATACAAACTCCTCATATGCACGACTGTGAATGAAAATGACTCACGTGTCTCTATGGGGATTTAATAAGACATCTCTGTCAACTTGAAACGATTCTAAAAAGCGAAAAGTTAAACTCTTTTTACATATTAAGTATTTTTTAAGAGAAATCACCAATGAAACAAAACAACAGTTTGTTGATACAAAAAGTCCAATTGGAGGGATACCTTCTTTTTGACAATCGAAATATCTCGGATGACATAGAATGCATAGGTCCTCTCTTTGTCCAGTTTGAGCTGAAATGTCGGTGTGGAAAGAGGTTCCCCTTCATCTGGCCAGTATTTGTGACATTTCACCTACATAAAAAATGGAACGTACTTATGCTCAGGATAAAACATAGTTGTGTGCATTTAGTAAGATACATGCGCAAGTAGTTATACGACTGTATTGTTGTTTGGTTGCTAAATAAGGAAGTGCACATGGGTTATATTATGCATTATATCCTTTTCATAGAGTCTGTTTATGGTCTTATTAACCGCGGACAACTTAACTTCGATAAAATAATTTATCGACCTAAATCAAAATGTATTATGATTTTAAATATCAAAGAATTTAACTGCAAATGCTGCTATACATATTATTTTTTTCATCATGAAGCACAACAAGATAAAAAATGTATTGGTACATGACACAGTTCCAGACAATCAAGAAGTGTATAAAATATATTTTTATTATAATATAAATGTAAACCTACAATGCCTCCTTCCATGATATTCGTCAGCATTACAATCTTCCCTGCGCTAACCTGCCAAACCATTCTCCAAAAGTCGTCCAGGGTATTAGGCTTTGGTCCTGAGTTGACAAAATATCCACTATAGCATACCTCAAACGATCAATTGATTAATCCACGTCAGTGCTTAATAAAAAAAGCCAGCTTGATTTATTTTCATAATACACGTATAGGGTAAAGTTAAAAATGGTATGTATACCTTGGCTGGCAATGTACTGTTTTGTTGCTTGGACACTCTAAAAAAGAAAATGTATAAAAGTGAAGACTCTTGGGGTTACATGCACAAAAAATGGAAAATATCTCAACAAACAATTTGCAAACAAAAACCCTGTTATGATGTACCAGTACAGCTAAATTTATAAACTTACATCAGAAAAAAATAATAATCAGAAAACAATGTTAATTTCTAGGTACCGATCCATTTCATGATATCAGAGTTGTCACATACATATCGATATAACGTTATATAGAAAATGTTATCATTTCTTGTTCTCAGGAGAGTCTAGTATTGTAGATTTGCAACCAAATGTACGTACATCGAGGTAATTTGCGTTTGTGTAGCTTGTATCGATATCGTTGCCAATAGTTTCCAATATGATCCTCGAATGATCATCTGCAATAGAATATTTAGATACTTTAGACACAGTGTGATGTTTCTGATATTTTTTTCTTTGCAGACCATAGAATCTATGATATAAGTCATCGCCTTGAACCATCTTAAAATAAATTATTGTGTAAAAGTAAAATAGAAGAAAAATATAGAAACAGACTCAACAATAAAGGGAAACATCAAAATTCCAATTTCATACAAGCTGAAACAAGTGATATGCGTGGACAACGTTGCATAACCATCAGCCGAAAAAAGGAGAGAGATAACCCTGGCAGCAGGATTTCACCTGTCATTAGGGTTTCAATCAAACAATGTAGGCTATTCACAAAGTATCATTGGTTTATAATTATTAACATTATAGAGCACGCTTGTTATACAACATTAAAAGGGTTATTAGAATATCAATAAAATATTGAAACGTTGTGTTTTGCTAGAGGTAATTGTATGTATTTAGCAAAATACACTTCCTTTTAATGACCACAAGAGATATGTATTTGTCTGCTAGTATCAGACAGAAAGCATCCAAGCTTAGCATAGGTAATTCTAATATATAATATGGAGATATCAAAATATGTAAGTGATGTTAATTCAAATTACGATGTAGACTTTTTTGAAATGCAGATTAAATTGATAACACTATGAAAATAAGATGTATAGTAATTTCTTTGAAAACCGTCTCCAAAGTTTGGTTTGGTAGAGACCTGGACCATTACTTACATGGGAAAGTTGTCTTGAATCTGTTCTTCGATTTGTTGGATGCCTTTTTACCAGCTTCGTGGGGATGTACTGCTCCCAATGGGAATGCCTATAAAGAAAGTTGTTTTTGAAAGAGGCAAACCAAGCAGGTAATAGTGAAAATACATCCTTGATATCAGCATGGTATGACTATACCTCTTCTGTTCTTCTTTGTTGTTGAAAATAAGCCACAGCCACCCAGTTTTAATGCAATATAATTATAAGCATCGTTATATTTCGTTACTGTTGAAAAGATCATCTTGGTCAATGTTTAAGATAAGATTATGTGAAAGATGACTCTCTTTTTAGTGGACTAAAATACAGTTAATCCACTCGATAGTGTAATCTGATTTCTAATCAATACAAGAAACAATCATGCACTCATACCTTAAATTCTTCCTGAAATGCTGCTGCTTTATCCACCATCTTGCGGTCAATAATATATCGCAGTTCATGTATAGAGACACTAGAGACAACAGCGTCCGCATTGCCAATGTTTGTATACACGGCGTCATTCTCTGTATCTATGTCAATGTCGTGCATGTTCACGTAATCAAGTCCATCTTCATTCATAGCAACTATTGGAGTTTCAGAAGAATAGAATACTTTCCATTAATTTATTTCTCTTCTTATTAAATATTAAAGTACAGCTTGCTGAGAATATGTAGTCTTACTAATGACAGTCTTACTAATGCCATTTTAGCACATTCATTTGGCACAATTTCTGATTGCTGAAAAAAACTTATACACGTGGACTTACATCAATATACTTACAATCTGTAAAATTATTATACACTAAAGATGCTACCGTATGCCGAATACATCATAGATTAAGCTCTGTTTGTTTTAATACATCAACAACTTGACTTGTGTTAACGAATTAGATAAACAATGTACAGACTTGCTTGTATTGGAACGACCAAAGCTTAAATTTTCTTAAATCTACCAATATCAAAATTGCGTATTCGCCCTACGAAGTAGACAGAATAGTTACGCCACCAAACCGTTACTTTAACGTCTTCATGACTCATAAAATCTTCAAACAATGTTTGCTGTTTTCTTGTAAAATGTTAAAAAAATGCTTAAAATAGTTCATTTTACCATGCAGGTACTGTGGCTACTTAAAATTATTTAACATGTCATTTTTTTGGTATTTTTCAGTATATCAGATCTCCTTTGAAATAAAACAAAATTTTGAAAGCAATAAAGGTAAAATTATCATCCAAGAGTGCCCATATCTGTTTGAACTGTCAGTGTTTTGACGTAAAAGTTAGGATAATGAAAACAATAATTGCGCATTATTATAATGCATTATTATAACAATAATTGCGCATTATTCTATGCGATTTCCCGTTAACTTTCGCAGACATCTACAAGATTAGGTTTTTAAAAAAAATAGTATATTGTTTTATTCGAAAATATCAACTGTTGAATATATTCACGGATAAGTCGTCTGTATTTGCGAAGTCCGTTTTCAAACTCGTGAGAAAACATACATCTATCAAAATGCATATAAATTGTACTGCAGATTCTTGATTTGAAGTCTGTTGATTTAACACAAACAAGCTGTAACAGATAAATAAATGTAACCTCTATCCTGATATATGGTCCACTATTTTTAGAACAATAACTAAACCACCGAAAATATAGGATAGCTTGTACCAGCGTGAAGTTGGTTACATTGTTTGTACCAACTAGCTCAATATTTGACTGACCCAATATTTGGCTAGTTTGATATTCAAATGCAACAAACATAATAGGTTTAATGCCGCTTTTTATCCCCTATACTACAACAAGTCATCGTCTAATGTACTGGGCACTTTTTTCGAATTTCAGCCAAAAACGTTTTTGTGTGTGTGTTAAAAGTGTCAGGTCCTATTATTACAGGTCTTATGCCGCTTTTTTACACCTAAACTACACCGAACCATCGTCGTAGGTATTCACATACAAACGGGCATCAACAATACCACATGCCAAATATACTGAGCACTTTTTCCAATTTCAGTTTTTAATCATTATTAAACATTCGGGTTATACATGTACTCATTTACTTTGTTTGTATTTCATATTGTGCACAGTTAAAATCTGCTCAGCGTTAGCGGAACGTTTTAGGATCACATGACATGAGACGCGATAGATCTTGGTGATGGATGCGGTCACCAATGCCCCTAATTAGCATTTAAATGATAGGTCCCTGCGATTGACCGCTCAAACAATTTTTTCACAATGTTTGGAAATAATAGACTCCCTATGGCGGTATGTGTACAAATGTAAGTGCATAATAAAGGCTTTGTTTGATTTCAAAACAAACCGGGATTGAACACGTACTTTGCCAGCTTTCGAAAACGTCTGTTTCCTTTGTTAAACAAAGAGTGCAAATGACCGGTTTCTCCACTCTAAACCGCTGAACGCACTAAGCCACACTGTGCCAAATCAAGTTAAGTCAGTTGAGCACCTTTAATATGAGGTAAAGTTATTGCCCTTTTGTATGCAAATACATTAAACGGTGCCCTGTTGTAGTATTGGTGTCCAAAGCGGCATAAGACCTCTAACAATGTTCCTTGAAAAAAATAATGATTTTCGACTGAAATTCGAAATTTTGCCTAGTAGACATCTTTAGTCTGGGATATCGTTGATGCTTATTTGTATGGGAATATCTTAGACGATGCCCGGATAAAAATAGAAAGAAAATTTAAAATTGGAAAAAAAAGTATTATACATCAAACAATATACATCATGATCGATATATATCGATATTTCAATTTAAATATTGCACAATTACCTCTTTTTTATTGAGTTGGTTAAAAACATCAACAGCTATAACCATGTTGTCAAATGTTTGTTGTGTAAAACAATTACATAACAAACATTTGACAACATGGTTATAGCCGTTGATGTTTTTAACCAACTCAATAAAAAAGTGGTAATTGTGCAATATTTAAATTGAAATGTCGATATATGTCGATCATGATGTATATTGTTTGATGTATCATACTGAACATTTAATGTTTAAATACAATATCAAATTGACTTATCTAAAGACGTGTTTTAATATTATTCACAACTAAGCAGGGATGAAACACACTCAAACATTTACTTTGTTTTAGTTAATAGGTACATGTACATCACACAAAAATTAACCTACCCATGCCCCTTGTTTGCTCACATGGCTGATCATATGTGTTTTGCCTTTTCAACTTAGTTGAAGAGGAATTCAATTTGTCGAACGGTTTGGCATTGTTTTCCCGTGGACTTTCTTTGTTCGACGATATTTTTTTTCTGAAAAACAAAATTATGTCATGTTTATAAGTTTTTTGTTTGTTTCCGTTGTTGTTCTTATTTAATAAAAGAAGTGTATAACTTTTGGAAATAATTGAATCATAATGATGAAGTATCTCAAATTAAACCACAAACTCATGACGATCTGATGAGAATAGTATATAATATAATTAATTTGAAGATATATCAATGAGTTTAGCTGTATGAGTAGATCAGCTGAGTAACACCTTATAAATCAAGGCATGTCCTTTGCCCGAACATTGCGCACATGTACCTTTTAAGTATGATGAAAGTTGCTATAACAACAAGAGCAATAACGGCAACTGCTCCTACTACACCACCTGCGATTGTCGCTGTTTTAACTTCTGGGGCCGACACCATCGCCTTCTCTGAAATATATAAAAGAATGTTGTCTTATTTTTTTATGATCCAAAGCCGACACATCGCCTTCCCCTAACATGTATCAAAACTAATGTTTTACTATTGTTTTCAAGGCCGACACAATCACCTTCCCGGAAATGTATAAAAGATTGTTGCGCTCATTTTTATGATCCATTTTATTTTTTCGGCCATTGGACGATTTGAAATAGTTAATTCAGTATACTGTAATATCTGAAACCATCCTTGGGCATGTCTATATTTACGTGAAAGGCAAGTTTCTCCTTCCCAGCCATCGCTACATTTACACGTCCCGTTTGTCATACCACACGACACACCAATGCATTGACCACATTTCTCCTTACATTTGAGTCCATAGTACCCATTGGTACAAGCTGTAATTACAAAAGTACAAATAGCTTATTGCTTATGGAACTACAATATGTAAAATGCAATATTGAATAACAAATTCAGTTTTAACAGTTGACATAGTTATATTACCCTCAAGTGTTCAGAAAAGAAATGTTGTCAGTGAAATATGAAGTACAAATACGAATCAAGGAAGCATATATTTTAAAGTTTTAAAATGCAATTAGCTCACGCAGAAAACCAAATGAATAAATATATTGATAAATATTTACGATAACTATGGGCCAAATAAATTCTACCAACATATATAAAATAATCTGCTAGCAGGCACAGTCACATTGCAATGCTAGGTGATCACTAGAATCGTGGAGAATAATCCTGATGCTTGCCGTTTGAACTAATATCATAACTGTTTTCAATAATGGACATAGGTTAAAGATAATACCTGAACACTCTCCACTATTTCTGTCACAAATTGAGTCTTTACAGTTATTAGGACATGGTTGGTTACACTCAGTTGTATAGGATCCAGGTATACATTCTAAAACAATAAAATTAATGATTGTATTTAATGAAAGTATCGTCGATTTATCCAGAGTTTGTGATTATATCTTTACTGATATAGAAAAATAAGCTAAACTTTATGAAAAACAACCTTACATCAATTAGCAACGTTCTTGAAGATATTAAATATTCACTAGAAAGCATTAAGTAAGTATCATGTCAAAGTTTAGAAAATACCGTGTCAAGGTTCAATGTTATTGATCGCATGAAACAGAATTTTACGTTTATGTATACTATATTCACCTTCACAGATACCAGTATCCTGACTGCACATATTGTCTTTGCAATTGATTGGACACGGTTGTTGACACATGTTGCCATGGTATCCTGAATCACATCCTGAAAATACCAATTGTGTGCAAAGAATAATAAACGAAACAAGTACAACATAACTCACAAAGCTCTATGCTGAATGAGTTTGTAAACATATATGCATATGCAATAGAGGATTACACTCTTTAGTAATGATATAAGTATAAGTGTATTTTTTAGCAAAAACCTCCCTAAAATAAAAAAAAACTAAGCGTACGTTATAAGGAATATTTACCGATATATCTGTTTTCATTATCATTTAAGTTCAAATGTAAAATTTGAGCTTGACGTACGGTTTAACCTTGATTTACATTTGTTAACACGAGTTTACAGTTGTAAAGATTAAAAATATGATTTTATACATTTAGCTGATAAGTTAGACAAACTGAACAAATATGAGCATAAGAAACAAGCAGATTGATTAATTGTATATCACCCATAGTGTGAATAGGAATAACTATACGTGTACATCACATATATGAGAGTCTTAGACTTGTTCAATATTCAATTATCTAACGAAAAGTATGTTCAATACTATGATATCCCTGTATTACAGGTACCGTTGTCCTGGGAACATGTGTTGTTTTTACAATTGGCTGGACAGGTCTGATTACACATGTTGCCATGGTATCCTGAATCACATCCTGAAAATACCAATTGTGTGCAAAGAATAATAAACGAAACAAGTACAACATAATTCACAAAGCTCCATGCTGACTGAGTGTGAAAACATATATGGATATGCGATAGACGTTTACACTCTTTGGTCATCATATAAGTACATGCATAAGTGCATCTTAGTTCTTGTTCAATATTTAAATATCTAACGAAAAGCATGTTTAATCAATATTGTAATATACCTGTTGTACAGAAACCGTTGTCCTGGGAACATGTGTTGTTTTTACAGTTTGCTGGACAGGTCTGATTACATATTGCCATGTAATCAAACAAGACAGTCTGTAATTGTTAACCAATTGTTTGGAATTCATTTTGATTAAATTTTCGTTTTCTTTCAAGGAATGAAATCTTTATTAATTTTGTCTTTTTAAGACAACCATAAAAAATGAATACTTCGATACCTGATTAACTTGAGATTTTTATGTACAAACATTGGTGTAAAAAGGATGTTTTCTTAATAAAACATCTCTTAGAAAATAATAATTTCTTATCTCATGAACACCTCTGTGAGAAATATGACATAAATATAAATCTTATAGAGTATTATGGTGTTTTGAATGCCACTCCTAGGTAATGGAAATCTATTTTACTTCAAGAAAATGAGCAGATTGAGGAAAAACAATGTAATTTTTCTAAATATTTAAAGAAACATGAAAAGATAATAAAGTACTTTTAAAATTATATACTTAAATTTGTTACTGAATTACCAATGACAAGGCAATTTTTAGACAAAACCGTATCAAGGTTCAATGTTATTGATCGAATGAAATAGAATTACACGTAACGGGAACTATATTCACCATCACAGATACCAGTATCCTGGCTGCACATATTGTCTTTGCAATTGATTGGACACGGTTGTTGACACATGTTGCCATGGTATCCTGAATCACATCCTGAAAGTACCAACTGAGTGTAAAGAATAATAAACGAAACAAGTACAACATAATTCACAAAGCTCAATGATGAATGAGTTTGTAAACATATGTGCGATGGAGGATTACACTCTTTGGTCATGATATAAGTACATGTACACGTATAAGTGTATTTTGGTTCTTAAAAAAATATCTAACGAAAAGTAAGTTTAATCAATATTATGATATACATGTACCTGTAATACAGAAACCGTTTTCCTGGGAACATGTGTTGTTGTTACAGTTGCCTGGACAGGGTTGATTACACATATTACCATGGAATCCAACAAGACAGTCTGTAATGGATAACCAATTATTTTAAATTCATTTTGATAAAATTTCCCTTTTTCTCAAAGAATTAAATCTTTATTAATTTTGTCTTTTTAAGGCAAACATGAAAGATGGATACCTGAATAATTTATTAACTTGAAATGTTCTAATATAAGAGAATATACATAAATATGAAACACTGACAAATGAATGCTTTTAATTTATATTAAAACAATCATAAATCACGTTTTCCAATTTAACTTATCACATGTTGGTCGGAATGGAAGCAGACAATACGGTTATTTAATTGGAATGAAACCAAAGTCCCCCCCCCCCCCTCAAACAAAACCTATCACTATAGCAATGCAAGAGCTACAACTGATTGACCAATTATTGTCATATGCTATCAATAGCCAATCAGTTTTGTTTTCAAACTGAAAGGGACAAGTTCTGAAGTGTTTCAATAACCGAGTACGGCTTTGCCAGGGAATGACTTGTACAATGAAATATAGAATACTCGAGCGATAACGAGGCTGTACCACACCATCATTTTCGTTAAATCAACAATGGTAACCTCAGTAAAAGGTTTATTCCCACTGGACGACGTATGCATTACATGTCCTATGGAAATTTCCAAAACAATCAAGGAGATATGTTTTAAATTAAGCGAGGGAAAAAATAAAAAATGCAACATTTAATATTATATGATTGCTTACATATTTGTTCCAAAGAATATCACTGACACGGTGTTCCTTACATCGCCATTGCGAAACATTCTTATACAATTCAAATTCGAATTCAATTGATGTTATTTCGATGAAAAAGAAACAATTTATCAAATATCAATTCATTATAAATTCAACAATGATTATCGACACATTTCACAGTCATACAGAGCAATATGATAGTCTAGGAAAGATGAAAATATGTTGCCCTGACATTATGGTTGGGCAATATAAGGTTACGAACAGATTATAGATCTCGTCTGAACCCTATAAACATTGAAACATTTTATAAAACCTATTTCCCGGCTGACGATTTAACTGCTTTTAGCCATTTTTTTGTATTATGAGAAAGACATATTATGAGAAAGGTCGGTATTATAAGAATATTTTAAGGCTAGTTTAATATTTAATACGATGTTTAGTTTCTCAATAACAGTATTTTTATTGTTAATAACGTCATGGTGTATTGGTAATTTCAGCATAGCTACTTTTTGTAGTTTATAATTTAGTTTAGTTATATATTAAAACTGACATTATCATGTACCGTTAATCTGAAATGAGAGATAATATATGATAAAAAAGCAATCAAATCATGATATTGTAGTTACATGTAAGTCCATCCTACCTTTTCCTTCAAATTCCCCTGTTTTGGTTAAATTAAAAAAAATGCTTAAAGAAAGTATAGCATTGATGACGTACATGCACACACTCTGCTATATTGGTCACATATTTTGTCTTGACAGTTGTCTGGACATGATTGGTCACACTGGCTGCCATGGTACCCATCGACGCAAGCTGAAAAACATCATACATAACTTTGTCTGATTATATTGTTAAAATATTATTTGAATATGTTATTTATAAGAAAATATATATTTGTGAACGTGCATCTGTATAAGAGTATCAACAAAAGGAGTTTTCTCTATATTCAACATATACATGTAAAGCTTAATCAGAATATTTGTACTGGAAATGAAAAGTTTATTATATTAATCTCAGCATACTCTATTTACCTATTCGCTCTGTGCTATTTGGTTGGTACGATTTATAGCTATTTAAATTTAAAATTGCTTTATGAAATCGAGAAACAATTGGAAGAGGATGTAAACAAGGCACGAATTATATAGCCATCCGAGATCAGCATCTAAAACCAATTCTGCATGAAAGGTAAAAAAACCCAGCTAACGTCACGATACCCAACGCGACACTTTTTTTTAGATAAATATCAATGTACCTCATACCATATCATCATTTCCAAAAATGGTCGTTTATTTTTCATCAACAGATACCGTCCACTTTTCATTTCTATTACAAGTTGGTATTTCCGACGTGTCAATACATGTATCAACAGAAAATTATACATAGTTTAAAGATGAGTCAAAGGGGGTTCAAAATTTCGCTTTCAGTGATTATTTTAATCTTTTAATTGTCCATGTAATGATAATCAACAGCCAATAAAGCTTTTATATAGTATCATCAAGGGAAAAGTGCATACATAAAAGTACTTTTTTGGATTGCATGACAGTTTCTTTGGCCGTTTACACTGTCCCGTTTGTGTACCGTCCCGTTTTAGATACTCGCCAGTTTTGGGTATTGTGACGTAACAGTAATAATATTATGTAGTACATCTAATTTGACTCGGCGATTGATGCACGTCTTGATTAGCCTTTGTATCAACAGTTTTTAATGCAAAATAGTTATTATTAATTACAGAAAGATTAAATTATAATTACAGCATACTTTGCGGTAATGACATTACGTCATTTTGAGCTGGATATAATGTTATACAAAAATAATATAATGGTATATAGGCTAATCTAATATACACTAATCTTCAAGCTAATTAGCACTAAAGATGTAAGACTACCGTGATATTATACATAGTTGTTTCAAGGTAATGCTACCTATTCATGTTTACTGTTTG